GGAGTATTTAGGAGAGCAGAATTGAACACTTTTTAATAGTTGATTTAGTAGCTTCAATAGGAAAGCCACAACACTACGGTGGCGCGTGCTTATCTCTAACCAGTGTAACATTTATCAGGCTATGTTTTAATTTCAACACCAGCGTAGACGCATCCGTCAAGAGCCAAATTTTTGGTGTAATTATCAAAGACCACTTCAATCGTCGAACCAGCAGGTACCTTGAACCATAGGCTGACAGGACGTCATCGTTAATTCAACAAATTTACAAACCTCCACTCAACAATGGCACGTGTAAAAGTCATTGTTTTTATCGGGATGATAATCCCACCAGCCAACGGTGTAGTTGAGGGTTTGGTACCATTCTGTTACTTTTGATGTTTCGCCGCACCCATATGGCTGAAAAGAAGAGCGTTGATTTATTGTCTACTTGAGAAAGAAGCATAAAGTAGTTCCCATTATACACTCTTTCATTACAAAGTTTACCGCCAAATCCGCTTGGACAAATGCATCCTGAGCAGTCTCTTGTGTGAGGGAACCCGTTGATCAATCTCTGAGGGATGCTCCGTGCACTCGACTTCATTAAGCATCGGTTGGCGGTGAATAAATGTGTATCCGAACTTCACAATAACTCACGGCAGCGTACTGATGTATCGGGGTTGTGACGCTATCCTCCCAGACCAGTCTGGTACCAGTTCACCGACCCCCAATGGATGGAAGGCTTCATGAGCCTTGAGCGCAGGGAATGTCTCTGTATGTATTGCAGTGCGCCTCTGACCACTGCCCCACATGCACCCGTCGTCAACGTTACTACCCACATTTTTTAAAAACACTTGTTTTAGCTGGAATTTGATGGTTGAAGCTGAGAAAAAAGGCTAAGAACGTTACAATTCGTAAAAGCGAAAAAAAAACAAGAATAACTGAGGGTGTGTTTTGCGCGTTAGAGATCACACACACACATTACACACTGCACCACAGAGGCTATTGCTTTGCGTTTCTGTGGGACTAGTTTTCTGACCAACGCTGTACTCAGCAGTCATCTGTCACCGTGATTGATTTGGGAAGCACAAATCGGCATTGAACACAGCTAAGCTTGCAATAGTTCTAATGGTTAAATCTATCTTAACTCTTTTATTTACTGTTCTTTTTATTTTTAATGGCAGGGTATGTTGCGAAATATAACTCGTATATAATGCTGAGATATTTGCAAACTTCGGACCGCAGGTGTATGCGGTGGGGAACGAACGCGCGCTATTGTCCTTTCCGGGGAGTAGCGCACTTCACCACCACACCATCCGGGTTCCTCGTTTTGCCTGCCTCTCAGCTAGTTCTACTGACCTTTTGCCAACAGCAATCACACGTCAACGGGATTTACCCCGTGGTGTGAAGGTGGTGAAGTGCGCTACTCCCCGGAAAGGACAATAGCGCGCGTTCGTTCNAAAAACACTTGTTTTAGCTGGAATTTGATGGTTGAAGCTGAGAAAAAAGGCTAAGAACGTTACAATTCGTAAAAGCGAAAAAAAAAACAAGAATAACTGAGGGTGTGTTTTGCGCGTTAGAGATCACACACACACATTACACACTGCACCACAGAGGCTATTGCTTTGCGTTTCTGTGGGACTAGTTTTCTGACCAACGCTGTACTCAGCAGTCATCTGTCACCGTGATTGATTTGGGAAGCACAAATCGGCATTGAACACAGCTAAGCTTGCAATAGTTCTAATGGTTAAATCTATCTTAACTCTTTTATTTACTGTTCTTTTTATTTTTAATGGCAGGGTANGCAGGTGTATGCGGTGGGGAACGAACGCGCGCTATTGTCCTTTCCGGGGAGTAGCGCACTTCACCACCACACCATCCGGGTTCCTCGTTTTGCCTGCCTCTCAGCTAGTTCTACTGACCTTTTGCCAACAGCAATCACACGTCAACGGGATTTACCCCGTGGTGTGAAGGTGGTGAAGTGCGCTACTCCCCGGAAAGGACAATAGCGCGCGTTCGTTCCCCACCGCATACACCTGCGGTCCGAAGTTTTGTAAATATCTCAGCATTATATACGGGTTGAATCTATCTTTAAATTTTAATTGTCCATAAGAGGTGCGCAAAAAGTCTCGACTGGTTTAGAACCATTACTGCTTAAAAGTGCTGTCGTCGGCATAATCAAGAGCAGTTCAGTAACTTGACTGATCGAATGCGGCTTGTTACATTGTGATCTAACAATTGGTCTCAATCAAAGGACTCGCTGTGTAAAAGAAATCGCTGCTCTCATAGGGGAAGTTCACGTGAACAGACATTGAAAGTGTGTGAACGGTATTTATAGCTAATGCTTTCAAAATGATACAATTCAATCCAGAAACAGCTTTATTACCCAAAGTAGGAATTAATGAAAGCTAAACATTTTTGCTAGAGAGTGGGTGGTGCAGTGGTGGTGAAGTTGATTGTCACAAGTGCGGTATTGGTTCGAACCCGCCTCGGGCTCACCATGCTTCTAATCACTCCGGAGTCGGGAGATTGCTACTAGACTTGCCTGGGAAAAGTTCGTTCCCCTCAATCAAAGTGGGAACGCTATGGCCCATCTATTTCATGACTTTAAAGAAAATCGATTCTACCAGTATTCAACGATATTCTTGATGATAGGAAAATCCTCAAACAGCACCAGAATCCACCACAAAAACATTTGGAGGACTTTCGTGGATTACGGATGCGCGGAAAACGAATCGAATGCAAGAGTGTTGTGATTCGCCCTGCAGATTGAAAGACGGGTCGTGCAGAAGAAAAAAAAATTTTTGCCAGCGAAATACATCTGTTTGCTTCCTCACTTAGAAATATGAAGTTTCCTAATCGACGTACTCTTCGGGTGTTTTCTCAGCAACGGTTTAATTGTTAAAGGGTTCGCTGGCTAGTAGACAGAACCGATAAGAAACAACTCGTAGAGCAGATATTCGAAGCTCTGTTCGTTTATCTTCTGCTGCGTGAAGGATATGAGGCGGAATCAAGCCTTCTGTTACAAGATAGTTGAGAAATTCTTGTTTTCCAGTTCTTCTGAAGAATTTTATGGTGCTTCCTTTACCTTTCTAGGAAACATGCTATAAGGACGAATACTACCAGTGCTAGTAATGCGAGTTCACAGATATCATACATCCTAGAAAGACTATTTGTCTGGAATGGTAGTCAAGTTTATTGATGCAGGTTTGATTAGTGTGATTTTCCCAGTACGGGCACTTACCGCTTTCTACGTTTTCATCATCTGTCTGTATAGTTTGTTTCATGTAAGGGCGTAAGTGGTGTCTGCGTAAAAACATGTGTCTGAATGAATTTATTCGTGAGAAAAATAACCACTACGCACAGAAGCCTGGGCAAACTTTTTCCTTGAATTTCAGCTTGTAATCAGAGGAACTGCAGAAACCGAGATCCTCTAACATCGTGCACCTAAACAGAATTTTTGGTTATTTAAAACTATTAGCCATTGATTAACCAATAGCACTTACAGGAAATGGTCTTTGCAACCTTTCTTGGGCGGGCCTGTCGGACGAGGTGTTTCCTGAGACGATGGTTGAAGTGTTGGTTGAGGTGTTGGCTGAGGTGTCTGCTCAGATATTGGCTCAGATGTCGCTGGACCAGTGGAAGCTGTCATGTTTCAAACTGTATGAAATTATTTTAGAAAAACTTCAAGTGTTCACGGTAGGCGTATTACCTATTCGATAGCGCAAGATGGCAGTAGCTTTGTGAACACGGCTGTAAGTAATTATTGGGACCATGCTGTACGCAGAGACCAAAGTTGTTCCGCTGTACTTCGAAGAGCAAAATCTAAATATTTATAAGGTACTCGAATCCGTAAAAGATGGAGAACCATAGAATTTACCTATAACCAGTGTGGCGTTTATCTGCTAATGTCTTGACCTCTACACCTGCCACTACACATCCGTCGCAACTTAAATTTTCGGTGTAGTTTTGAAAGACCACTTCAATTTTTGAGCCATCCGGTGCCTTAAAGAGTGTACTATCGAGTCGCCCTTGTCAAAATAGGCCACTTACAGATTGCCAAACCTTGATCCAATAGTTGCATGTTTCAAATTCATCGTTGTCAGCGTTGGGGTCATAATTCGATTTTCCCACTGTGTCCGAAAGTTCTTGGTAGGATTCCGTTGCTGTCAGTACCTTACCGCATCCAGGTGGCTGAAAGGAAAGCCTGTTTCACTACTCTTTGGTTGAGAGCGTAAAGAAGTAAGACTGTATTTTTTTTTCACTCTTTCATTGCAGGTATCTCCGCCATATCCGCTAGGGCAAATGCACCACGTGCAGTATCTTGGATGGGGGTAACCGTCATTTTCGCACTTTGCTGTGGACCTTGCCTTGCATGCGTCTAAAATAACACATTTTTAGGAAGAAGCAGTGAAACGTTAATGTGTCAAAGTTCTGGACAGCATTCTTCTCACCAAGGCATTTATAATGCATATTGACCATTAGTTTATCGTAGAATGAAATAAAGGGCGACCCAAGAGTTTGCATAAATTTGATGTCATGTGGAACAATGTAGGGCTCGTGGTTCTTTGAGACACTGTAATTGGAATATTGGTTCTTCTTTGCTGTTATTTTGCATTGAATCATTAGAAAGTGCGTTAACATTGTTGCTCCATAATGCATAAGACTTCCATAATCGTAGGTCAGATTATAATTATAGTTGGTTTTTTCGGTTTGCTTAACAAACTGAGTCTCCCATCCGTCCTGAAATCACATCTTCCCGAATGAAAATTTCTACCAGTATTTTAGCAAAGATTTACGATGATATTTTGCAATTGTAGTGTAATGAAACTGTCACGATCGTGTCTGGACTGTGTGTGGAAGAGACCCAAAGCGTGACCGATCTCGTGCGCAGCTGTCCCAACCTAAACAGTATACGGTTGTCGCATCGTTATGTAACAATTGAAAGCGCTCGTACCCACTCCCTCTTACAAATGTATTCAAATTAAATGTTACTATAAATGTGAAGAAATTCTCTGCTATTCGTACCGATTCACATCGAGCCCCTAATGAGAGAGCCTGAGTTCCACCATTTCGTCCAACGTGTGACCAACATCCTTCACCTTTCACAACGAGGATTTTATCTCTAGCTGTAAGTCCGACTATTGGCACGTGATTGAAAGTGAAAGACTTCAAAGTGTTCTAAACTACCTATCATGCTTACCCCTATCGGTCTCTCCGAAGTTGATGCAAGTATCCCAGGACCACATTGCGGCTGCTCTTTTAAACACTCTCTTCGCCACACTAGCTGAACTTGGTTGTGAAAAGACGTAGTATCTCTTTTATGTGAGTATGACGCAGTGAAAAGAAGCATAAGAGACAAACTTGCATTGTAAAATGCGAAATTGACTCCATTGGACCACAAATATTTAGGATACTTTTCGTCACGAAACGCTTGCCGTTTGACGCGACCACCTTTGTTCTCTTTGATGTCTTCAATGATCTCGTCGGCTTGCTCTCTGAAAATATGGAAGGGGCATGAAGAACGACAAGCACACTTACAAAGTGAACAAACTTCGTTAAAATAATGTCTCCTTGGAACAGCGCCATGTCGACTCTACTCTCTCTATTGACTCTTGCGATTGTATCGCCTACTGGTTCTATGTTAGTTTGTTTGATTTCTGCGTAATCCTGAAGATTCGGCTTTATTACTTATCCCATGCCTATACACGAAACCATGTGCTTACCTTCATAGCTTTCAACACATCACCATTCGGCTTTGTAGATACAGTGAGTTCGTCTTTGATTTCTTTTTCCATGCTGTGCAATTTCTTAAGAAATTCCATCGTATCATCAGCATTTGGTTCCTGTGAAAACTGGATGATTGAAAGGAAAAGCCACAGCTTATAACCATAATCTGAAGCCTCAGTTGATTAGAATGCCGTACGTACGCTTTTGAGTAACTGATTCCCTTTCTTTAGTTTTTCTTCAAAACTTTCTTCGCTCTTGATGAAGGTAGCGAGATATGCTAGTAGTAAAACCCTCATTCTGGAATCTGAAGCAGATCGAAACAAGGCAGTATTTTGTTAGTCGAAAACGAAAAGTTAAAGCTGAATATCGTTCATGGATTTGCCCCACTTTTATACGAGCTACATCGACCAACAAAATATTTTTCTTTCTATCCAGTATTGAAACAAAGCAGTGATTCTATTGCCGATTTATTATGTCTGGGATATTGCTCAAAATATTTGGATGCACTATACTTGCGTTTGGAAGCAAACAATTTCTCCTC